CGAATTAAGCTGCCCTTGCTAGAGACTCTCTAAATAAAACCAAATGTTTGTATGCTCAGGCAAACAGGACAGAGGTACCCAAAACACTTTTGAGTTTGTTCTGTTCTCACTACAAAGTATGGAAATGTAAACTTTTTTCAGTATTATGACACTACTAGCTGACATGACATACTTCACGTTCATTTGCAGTGTTCTTATGTCCGTAAGACCTTTAGGTCTGCTCTCTACAAGAGAAAAAATTTTATGCATGCCTACAAATATGTCCTGGTTGGAAAGACTTAACGTTATGAATGCTGTAAACACAACGCTATACCAAATGCTTGAAGGGAATGAGATACCGATTTTTTTTGACTTGGTGATTGTATGAGTAGCTTTCTTGACTCAATGGGATTTTTTCCACCATGACAAAGCAATGAAGTTTCTATTCCTGGAGGGCAGTTTAGGTTCAGACATTCTCAGGAGAGGCAGTTAAAAACCAATATGTTGGGATTTCATGCAGCTTTAATAGTGACATGCAACATGCCCAGTGTTTTACCTGCGGGGTAAAGTTGCAGAAGCACATTTTCACATTACTATATTGAAAAATCTTTTTTCCTCCCCTGCTCAGATTAGGGGGTGAGAGAAGTGGGTACAGGAGACCCCTAATAAGGATAGGCTGTGTTGGGTTTGGTAAATGTTATGGTGGAAAATGTACATTGATGTCTCTAAGTGATCTTACGGGTTAACAAGCCAGACTGGCATCTTTTTCCATCATTGTTTAACCAATAATGGTTCTAAAAATGCTTTGTGTACCTGCATGGTCTTAGACCTTCTATTAATGATTGTATCAACTTACAAACTCAGGTAGATAATTTTTTAAGCTCTTTTCATAGAGCCTTACTGACTGAATGTTAAGTGTCTGTGTAGCAATGTAGTTAAGTAACTTGCTTTTGAACTACCAGACTAGTTTAAAAAAAAAAGTCCTTTTATAGGTTTGTAGAGTACTTCTCAGACAATGTAGTAGGTTTTCCTTCAGAGGGAGAGATGTCTGTTACTGGGTTTTGTTTTTAGTTTCTTTTCTAAAATTACTAAAAAGTTTTTAACTAGTTTGTGAGGTGTGCTTAGTCACTTGAGTTGGTGGGGGTTTCTTGCTGTATGTGACTCTTGTTCGTACTGTGCATTACCTGTCGTGCTGCCTGGTTCGTGCGCAATTCATTGGAGCAGTGAGGGTGTTGAACACATGCCTGCAATTTAAGTCAAATAGAAATGGGAAGCCTTGAACAAAATGGAGGTCATCCATGTGAAACCAGTGTCACAGATGTGCATTTTCCTCCCCTCATTTAGTTGGCCGTGGATATATGGCCCCATCTTCTAAACTGCATTACCAGTGTGTAAGTGGCGTTGCCTTGATGCAGGTTTGCATCAGGATCCAGAATGACTTTGTCAGTCCTTGGATGTTGGGCATCTTGAGTTGATTTGGTTTTGTAGTTTCCTCTTCCGTTGCAGTTGTTTCTTTTCTACTTTAGTGATTAATCGTGCTGCTCTGCTAATAATAATAAAAATCTCTCAGCAGGACAGACAGTGCTCTGCTTTTAACAAGCTGCTCAGAGCTTTTATATTTAATTGAGAATGAGACAGGCTGTGACACAAACTTCCATGCTCCAAAAAGGGCATCACTTCTATTTGGACAAAAAGTGACATAATTTTTAGATGTCAGATGTTGAGTTACTGCAGAGAAGAAAGCATGACAGGTTATGTGCAAACTTTGATGTAGAGTAAGTGAGCAAAACGTTAGAACCCTTGTGTTAATGGAGGCTTCTGAATGTATCTTTGTGGTCCATAGGGAAGGCTGAAGGATGTAGCAAGGAGATGATGTATCAGCTACTGGCAGCCTTAAAACAAAGTCAGTGTCTCTCTGGACTTTAAAATGTTCCTATGCAGTTTATTTTATTTTTGTTTAATCAAATAAATGTGAGTTTTTGGTTGGTTTTTTTTTCATGGCAAATCTGTGTATGTGTGTTTGTTATTCAGACAAAGATTTCTCTTCTGTTGGGGTGCAAAAAAGAAAAAGTGCTTGCCTGAATTTGAACCTGACTGTCTCTAGTTGATGACTACTGAAAACTCTTAACTAGAGGCACCTGCTTTGAAAAGAAAGAAGAGAAATTCTGGGGTGCTATGGAGATAAGTGGGGGTGGGGCTGTGTTAAAAATTTTTTTGATGCAGTGTCAAACTCTTAGTTGTCTGGCCTATTAAAAAAAACAGCCTCACTCTCATGACTGGAGGAAATGGCTTTGACACTCACTGACCTCATTACCTGTACTCAATGGAGTTTTCCTAGTATTTTGCCAGAAATTTCCCAGTTTAACCTTGTTAGGTCCACTTCTGAGTTTCTATTTCTTCGCTGTTGCAGTAGTGTAAAGCAAAGCTACCCAAACATTTAACAGTGTATCTGGCAATGGGGGTTAATGGTGCTGGGGTGAGGGGTGGTAAAGGGAATAGGATCCCTTTCCCCTGCCGTGGGGACAGGAGCCAGTGCAGGACTGCAGGGCTGAGATCCTGGAGGCAAGGGGAGGGCTGACTGTGCCTCTGTTGCAATGCCAGAGAGGAGATGGGTCCCTGGCTGCTCCTTTCCTAATGTTTTTTTGGTGTTTATTTTCCCCTCTGTTAATGGTAAACCCATGAAACCCAACAGCTGAAAGGCACCCCCATTCCCCCCGCTCTTCAAATAGCGGTGCTGCAGGGCGGGCGGCAGAGCGGTCCGCGGGAGGGGGAGCCGGCCCGGGCCGCCGCTGCTCCCA